GTATATTTATGTTAATCATTTTCAATAATTAACAAATTCTAACTAAATCAATTTTAAGAATATAGTCTTTCGAATTGAGATTATCATATCATTTCATTTAATAAAAAATATCTAAAATAAACTTTATAATTTATTATCTAATAAGCTTTATTCAAAAGCTTTAGCATAATATTTTATGAGATTAGTCACCTTAGTAAGTATTAATCTGTAGCAATATTATTTATAGTTGATTAATATCAAAATTTTTTTTGACTATTTTTAATTTAATTGAGTTATTTATGCTAAATTTTATATCAATCTCAGAACTCTAAAAAATTAACTAGTGTCGATATTTATTCATATATTTTTGATTTGGATTATAAACTATCGTCCCTTTGTTAGATTGGCTGTAAATAGAATTAATCCTATCTTGAGATGAATTCAAAAATTTAGGATTCAACAGCAAACAATAATTTAACCTTATTGATATACTCTCTAGTAATCCTTATTTTTTTTTAATTACACCTATTCAAAAACCTCATGAAATTTGAAGTCTTCTATTCAAGCATAATTTAGAAATTCATTATGTTAAAAAAAATACAAAACAATCTTGTAAATTAAGATTGAAAGTTGAAGGATAACGAATAGCCATATTTCATTGATTAATTATTTGCTCATCAAGTATAGAGATGGTTACTTATGTAATAATTTGAATAAGTTAAAAAAAGATATTATTTTATTTAATTCTATGAAATAGGTTTTTTAATTATTATTTATTATGAAAATAGTGATGCTGATAATGAAATTTAGTTTGTATTTGAAGATTGATTGAATAATTAAAATTACTAATTTATTTAGAGGAATTGAGAAGTTGAACAAACAGATATATTTGTTTACCTATAATGGCTAATTAAGTGGCTTGCATGATATATGTCATATTAAATGTATCACTAGAAGAGTTAAATGCCATAAGTTAATTACTTGATTAATTAATTCAGAATCAAAGGATAATGCAAATAAAATATACAAAAGAGGACTGTAAATGACAATATCAACTGAAATTAGCCTTAACTCTAAATCGAAAATTCCAACATAGCAACTAATTTAAAAAGTAAACTGGTTCTTTCAATAGAAATTAAAAAATAAATAAAATTTATACAGCTAAATTGATTTGATTGCATTTTGAGATTATAATATTATTTTTGAGTGCTAATAGAATTACTTTTTATCTTTAGGATACTCATAATTTCATATCAAGTCTATTTTCATTGGGTTTCTTTGATAAATCAGTTTTCTTCAAAAATTCAATCGAGCTTGCTTATAAAATTGCTTGAAAACAATCCTTGCTTAACTTTTTGGATTAGAATGAAATATTTATATATCATAATAATGATAGAAATTTAATTTATAACATGATCATATCACTTTTGCCAATTTATTGCGGTTTTATATAAATATAAACCAGATTTTTTGAAATAAACTTTATTTTAACAAATAATTATTAATAAATCTTAAAATTAAAATATATTAATAACATGAATTAAAATATCATAATTTCATATAAATTATTATTTTATCATCTTTCCTTTTTTAACCATATTCATAATTTTGTGTATATGAATAAATACTTGATTACAAATTTCTATCAAATTTTTCATCCAGATCAATCCATATTCCATTTCTCATACTTTTCTCATCATAAATTCCACTTCCACTAAACAAGATTTAAATTTTATATTTCTACATATGTCTTTCAAAAGTGCAATTTTATATAATCCATTATATAAATATTTAATACTTCTTTGAGTTAAGTAATTATTTTTGAAAACTATTCTTACTTTGGCGAGTATAAAAATGGAAAAAAAGTTGAATAATGGGATACTTTGTTCTTATTTTGGAAAAAAAGAGATTACTAAATTATGTGCTTATTATGATAGATTCAGTATTGGAGGATCATATAATGAAAATGGTTATAAATAAGGTGAATGGATAGATGTTTTACAAAATAATGAAATGTAAACTTAAATTTCAATGTAGATTTTTCTAATTAATTTGGAAAATGAGATATAGGAGTATTTAAGTTATAATAGAATATGTAAGAATATTTATATATTAAAAGTTATGATGGATAGTTTGATAATTAAGGACAAAAATAAGATTAATGAATAGTAATAGTTTAGCAACATTTTATTATAAAAAAGGGATTAGAAGTAAAGTATGGAATCCATAATAATCATCAAGAATATATTATTCTAATATAAAATATATCAAATGCAATATATTTCACTAATTAGATTTTAGAGTTTAGAATTGTAGTAATTTTTGGTTTTCTAATATTCATATTCATCCATAAATATCTATACATTATATTTCACATTCACATTAGTATGTCCAGTAAACAAATAAACTTAATCTAAAAAGCAGACCTTCTCCTAAGCTTAGTTCTTATTTTAGGCATAATCCTAACTCATATAGCTCTAAATACATGGTCTCTAAACTCCCCATGAGAATACAACTTATTCTTTAAAGTAACTATTTATGATCAGAAATAATCCGATATAATTAATCCAATTGTTTCTATGATTGATTATTTATATTTCCTATTATAATTTACAAATAAAAAAAATAAATTCAACTTAAACACAAGATTTAATTTTTTGTTAATCTATCCCCAATTTCTTGACCTCTTAGGAAGAGTGTTCGAGGATCTCAAAAATAAAATTAAAACATATTTATATTACCTATGTCATAATCATTGTTATGACTAAACAAGCCAATAGAATATAATCGATTCCTCAATCACTAATCTAGATTTATAACCAAGCAGGTAAATCTCCTTATTATAAAACAATAAGGTTACCAAACCAAATATTTGACTTTTGGCTATCGAACTTGATTTTGAGTAAAAAGGAGTACTGTTATTCTTGGTATTGAATTGTAACGCAATTTAAACTCAACTATTCCCAAAAAAATAATCATAAATACTTAATATTTGAGAACTCTTTCAATCAAAAAATTATTATGTGGTGAAATTTGTGATTAGTTATAGACGATTCCTTCATCAACATCAACACATAAGAATATTTCTAGATTGAAGTAGCTTATTCCCTTTGTGAGTTTGCCATATAGATAATGGGATGGATTTGAATACGTATAAAACTCATAATAATGGAACACATAGCCTTAATCAACTCTTAGGCCATCCACTTTATAGTTTGTTCTTGTGAGCCTGTTAATCAAAAGGAGTTTCACCATACTTTGTAGCATACAAAAAAACTTCAAATAGTTCATATTCAGTTTTGGTGTGAGTATTAAAGTTTTCCATCAATATCAGAGGTTGTTAATAAATTTGATATTGTTAGAATCACATTAAATTCCATAAAAAAATAAAATAATTTTTAATATTGGTTGCTTCACTAACGAGACAAATATAACAGCATATTATTTTAAATAAGTTGAATTACAATTAAAATTACAAGAAAATACTAAAACAATTCTAAATCAAACAAACCTTAGTTTATAAAGTTTAAGTTTGAAATTTTCTTGATATATTGAATACATAGCACTTTTCTTATAGCAAGGGTCTCTTTCGCTTGAATAAATTATATGTTCATTTTTAAAATAAATGAAAAACTACTTCCTTCATTCTCTTTAATTTGATATTATCAAAATCAGGCTTTTTCTAATGTTATAAGAATACTAATTTAATAAAGTAAAATATTATTAATTATAATGATCATAATTATATTTGAGAATCAACAAATATTAAAAAATTCTCATAATAAAATTAACCATAAGGTGAAAAGACTCTAAATTATACAAAGGTTTTTCCATATTTATTATATTTCTTTAATATATGTATTTATCATATAATTCTACATACTAATAATCAGTCAGCATGTTCCAAAGGTACTTTAGCTAGTGACACTTCCTGTTCAAAGTTATCATGTGAATTGAATGTTACTGTAATTACAGATTCAAAATTCTAATCATTCCATCCTGATTGTTGCATAAAGGTTATGGTTGTCTTCAAAAAGCATATGCATGTTCATCCTATAATGGTACAAAGAATATTGTTAGAAATTTACA